TTTTGAAAGTTTTTTCATAGGTACAATGGCATTCTTAACTTTCGATTAGTGCTATGTTGCCTTGGAAATTTTACAAATAAAGCACAATCGAATTTGTCAAGCCATAAAGTCAAACAATATTGTCTAACAATTATTTGCGAATACATACTTGAAAAATAACTACAACTCTTTTATAAAATTTAATATAATGGACATATTTCCAAACATATTAATAATTAATAAAGTTAAAATCATAATGATAAATCATTTTTCAACCCATAAATCAAACATTAACAATATATTAAAAAATAAAAAAAAAAACTCAATCATAGAACATTTCTTTCTTTTCCTTGAAAGCTTAGTACAATGGAAAAAATTCAATTTGAAATGATTTAAATTTAAATATGAAATAATTAGCATCAAAATTTGAAGATATAGCAATATGCATATAAATATAATTTAACAATATTTAGTAAAAAAAAATTTGATTTATAAACTAATTGAAATGCTATTTACTTACCTGAAAAGGCAACATTGACTATTATTGTTAAGTGTTAAAGGGCAATTTTGCCTCGAAAGCTTGTCTAAAGGAATAATTGGTGTCATAAACTTTTGATTGGCATGATGCTTTTAGGATATCAACTTTCAAATTAAAAGAATGATCTAACAACTTATTATAAGCTATAATTAGAAGAGAATTTAAGATTGAATTACATTGAAACCTCTAGCTAAATCATAATATAGGCTAGTTCATAATATAGGCTAGTTGTTATTGCTCATGGATAGATTTGAACAAGTATGTATTTAAGCATGTGCAAGTTGAGACCTACTTATGGGCAAAATAAGGGCAAGTCTAAATTTTAAGAAAAACTCTATAGAATTCTAAGGGTAAAGTTGATTTTGCATTGAAGCAACATTGAATAAAAGTTCTTGGCAAAATCCACGAATATGCATGAACCATTTTTAACATTGATAATTTGATATAATGGGCTATTAGATTTTTCTTCTGATTTAAATATTGATGACTCAAAAACATTTTGCTAATATAAAATTTAAGATACTAATCACTCATTCAGAAAAACCTTTGAAACAAATTGCTCTTTCACTCCAGTCAAAATTGTCAACTAATAGTTAACATTGGTCAAACTTAATTATAGAGCAAAATATTGCAACATTTTTAAAATTTCTGGACAAATTTGTCCTTTAATCCAAAAGAAAAAAAACTAGTTTTATAAAAATGTGGGTTGAAAGGTATTTTTCTGAATTAAAGTACCTGTGGAAGTTACCATTGATTTGATGTAGCACTAGTCATTACAACCCCAACAACAATGCCCATCCACAGCATTATTTTTTTTAAAAAAAATTATATATAGGTCATGTGGAGCAAATTTATTTATAAATAAGTTTTCAAAATTCAAAAATCACAATCAAGACCCTTAGAACCTGAGTATAATTTAAAATTAAGCTGTAAAGATAATAATACCACTATTAAATATATATAACATCAATCAAATAGTTAATTTATAACTACAATTTTAATTTTTTACAGTTGTAACTTTACATATTTAATAGTTAAACAATCATGTGTTACTAACAAAGTTGAAGTTATTGTCATAAATTATTGATGAAGGAGTTATAAATTATTTAACTAATACAATGTGTATATATGTTAAATAAGGACATTATTATCCTTTTATTTCAATTTCAAATTATATTCAAGTTCTAAGGGATCTACTTGTGACTTTTAAATTTTACAAAACTTATTTATAAATAAGTCTGCCTCCATGAGACCGGTATGTGATTATCTCTGTTTTTTTTTTTTTTGCATACAGCGCATGCATCTCATTATAACCTGACATTAATGTCCATTCACTACATTCCACATTTAAATTCACTACAGAGATATTCCTAGATATAAATTCATTATTATATACTACTCCATACAACTCAATTTTTTTTTTAATGGAAGAGAGAAATATTTAAAATAGTCATATATATTAAGACTTTCCATACAGCTCCTCAAATTCCACTCTTCATGAAACACACAAGCCACTCAACTTATCTTACATTTAGTATAATTTACTAGTCCATCGATATATGAAACACATATTCCTAGATGAGTGACTTGTTTTTCTAAACACACAAAGCCAACTATATACATAAATACATACATACAAATTCATTCACAAAACTTAAACTCAGTCATTATAGAACAATTGATGAAGTGACTTAGATTGAAAGAGCAACTCAGATTTTTTGTATTGTATGTGATTTGTATTTTGTGGATGTTGAAGTGTGGTTTCTAAGTTTCTGCAGCAATGGAATATATATTCTACATTTGTCGGTGTTGGAACTGTTGAGAAAAACCGTAAGGATGAGTTGCAGGTGTGTCAAATTGTCTATTGGTTAAGAGTAATAAGCAGCGTGAAAAGTACATATGGAGGGAATGAGTTGGAGGATGATTGAAGAATGATAATGAAGAGAGTATCCAATTTCACATGAGAGAGAGAGAGAGGGAGAGGGAGAGGGAGAGATGCAGGATCTAGTTTGAGCCCACATTTTCAGCGGAATTAATGATTCAATTACTTAGTATAAGAAACCCACACTTCATATGATCAATATTCACTCACATGCTTAACTTTACACCTGCTGCCACATCGTTCGTGGGAAATTTATTCATTTTATCACTTAAAGCCTTCATTCAATCTTTGTTATATCATACCTTTAGATATCGCATTAATCGAATAGAGCGTTTGGAGATTTGAACGATTTAGAATATTAGTACTCAGCACCAAGATACTCACCACCAGCTCGGCAGTGAACATTAAATTAAAGCTGACTTTAAATTATCCCTAAATCCCAAATTTGGCTTTTTGAGCAACATCCTATATTTAATTATTTTTAAAAAAAAAGTTAAATCCCAAAAGTTTGTCTAAAGAAGTAATTGGTGTCATAAACATTTAATTGTCACAATGTTTTTGAGGTATCAACTTTTAAATCAAAATAAGGATCCAACAAATTGTTATAATCCAAAATTAGAAGAAAATTTTGGGTTAAAATACATTGAATGCCTCTAAATCAAAATGCAGGCTAGTCTTTGTTGGTCATGGGCAAGTTTGGACAAGTCTGTAATTTGGTAATACCTTGTTGAAATGAATGAATTACTTGAGCTAAACTTTCATTAATAATGTTACATTGTGTGTATGGTAATCCAAATTAAGACTCAAAGAGCTATATGTAAGTAACAACTGAAAATGAAGAAAAGGCAAGATTAATGCTACAGCATACTGGAATTATACTATAGCACAATTCAATGACAGTGGCAATAATAATGAGATTTATGCCGTAGCACAACTTGATTATGCCGCAACATAATTGTCAGTTACTAAAATGCACAGCTTTGTGAAAAACTGATATTTTTAGGGTTCTGAACATTTTTGCTTGACATGCTTCGTCTTTGCTTGTCTCCAATAGCTCCAAATTGACCAGGGAAAAAAGGAAAAACACCATGGATGAGGTGGAGAACTTGGGTTTCATGGGAGATTAGTGATTTTCATCCAAAATCACTCCAATTAAGCTTTTCTTCTCCTTCTCTTCTTTATTTTGATGTATTCTCTGTTTAGCTTTGCAATTTTTAGATTTATGTGTGGCTGAATCTTTCAGACCTAGAAGAATTATGAACCTATTGATGGATTAGACTTGTTTTTACCTATTAGTTATGCTTAATGTTGATTTTAGTTACTCAATCTTGTACTTTTAATGTCTATTTGATGCTTGGCTAACATTAAATATGATTTTAGGTGTTGGAATTTTTTCTTGACAAAGGAAAATCTCTTCTAGACCATTGGATTGAGTAATATGGGGTTAGATTTTATCAAATTTGTAATTAGGATAGACATATATCTAATTGTTCCATATAATCATTGTAGAGTGTTCTTGAATTGAGTTGCCTCTTGAATAATTGTGTTAAAAATAACATAGAGGGTTGTTAGTAGATTGAAAGACCTTAATAACTATTAAAACTCTTGATTAACAAAATTGGCTTTGAAATTAATTGATTAAGTTAAAATGGAGTCTAAGACATTAATAGGAGATTAGTGACTCTAGGTTAATTTTTACTTGCGTGGTTGTTGGATTTAAGTATTTTGCTAAGTTTTTATTAAATTCAATTTCAATTTTAGTTAATTAATCGATTCCAATTGATTTTGCTTAACGTAAACAAAAGTGAAAATTTATTGCCTAATTGCTATTGTGATTGATTCCTCATGAGATCGACCTTGACACACTAGCATATTGCATTCGATCCATACACTTACGGCTATAAATTTTTTGCGTTATCAGTATTTAACCCTATATAAGCCAAGACCAGCTCACAGGCAAAATAAGTATGTGAGCTACTCAAGATAGAGTTGATTTTATATCAAATCAACCTCGAGTAAGATCTCTTATAAAAAAAAATCCCTAAATATGAATTTTAACATTACTAATTTGATATAATGGGTTATTGGATTTTTCTTCTGATTTGAATATTGATAACCCAAACACATTGCACTAATAAAAAGTTTATGATACCAATTGCTTTTTTAGAAAAACTTTCAGGGCAAAATTGCTCTTTAACCTAGTTAGAATTTTCAACCAACAGTCAAACATTACTATAAAATGATATTACACCATTTTAAAACTTCCAAAATAATATCGTACCATTCAAGGGTTAAGAATACCAATTGCATCTTTTAGGACAAATTTGCCCTTTAATCAAAAGAGAAACTTAGTTTTATAAACATGTGGGTTAAAAAGGTATTTTTGCCAATTAAAGTGCTCGTGGAAGTTACCGTTGATTTAATTTGACGCAGCACTACAACAATGTCCATCCACAACGTTATTTTATTTATTTTTTATTTTTTATTTTTTTTGCATCCCGCAAATCTTACATCCCATATTTAAATTCACTACAGAGAGATATTCCTATATACCAATCATGCTGGAATAGAGAGATTACCTTTTTGAATGAAAGAGAGAAATATTTAAAACAGTCATGTATATTAAGACTTTCCATACAACTCCTCAAACTTCACTCTTCATGAAACACACAAACCACTCAATCTATCTTTACATTTATTATAATTTACTATAGTCCATCGATATATGAAACACATATTCCGAGGTGAGTTACTTATTTTTCTAAACACACAAAGCCAACTACGTATATTAATTCACCCATAAAACTGAAACTCAGTCACTGTAGAACTGGCCCTTCTCAAATCGAAGATTGCAGCTCAGTTTGATAACCCTACCACCAATCTTGTTCTTACAACAGAGTGGAATATCTGAGATAGCCTTCTCCAAGCAGGCGTCACAGTTTTGCCTAGACATATCTGGCTTGCACTGAACAAGACCATATACAGTTTCAAACTGACCGGCCGGTTTGCTTCCGACAGCCACCTTCCGACGAGAGTCCCCAGAAGCAGCTTCGCTTTTTAGTCTTTGCAATAGATCATGAAGCGCACTTGTGTATTCTTCTACGTCTATTGCATCTTGTGGGTTGTTGAAGCTGTAGGAGAATTCAGGGTCCAGGTATCCCAACAATGGACGGCTTGAGTATTGAAAAGTGCACAAGTCAAAGTATCCAAATGCGTCTTTCTGATTTGGACATAGCCTTGGGAGAAGGATTTTGGCAACGGTGAGGCAATTCCTGCAAGAACTCGGACTCAAATCTCCTCGGCACAGCCCTTGTGCGTGAACTATATTGGGGCGTTCACCGAAGGTGGAACTGTAGAAGCCATAGTCAATTTTTGTGTCAGAAGAAAAATTAGAAAGAAGAGTATTGAGGTTGGTTTGATAGGGACTTCCGTTTGGGTAGGTTCCTCTTCCAATGAAACACTTGTAATAACCGAAGTCAGGCTGCGCGGAGAGAACGATAAGATGAAGAAGGAACAAGACCAGAGCCAAGGAAATGATGGGCATAATTGTCATCATTGGAATATAATGAGATGTGATGAGCGATAGCAGTACCTATAGCTGTTAGTACAGTAACATATACTCAACTTGCATATGTAGTACACTGATAAGAATGAAACCAACTGCACAAAAACATGGGGGAAGAGAATAAATGAAGGACAAGAAGTGATGAAAAGATAAGCGCGCATAATTGTAGTATAGGTTCTAGGACTACAAGTCGGGCACATTCTTATGGTCAGCTCAATACTCATTTAATCTTGGATTATTTTCAAATGATGATACTGAATTGATGTATAACTACAGTACGTCTCATTGCAAGCCAACGTAACAATGTCCATTCGTTTCCATATTAAAATAAAAATGGCCACTACGTCTATTCCCATTATAGATTGGGACGTTAATATTCCGTCATTGTGATGCATAACGCATAAAGCCCTTTTCTCCCCCTTCATTTTTTATTAATTTTTTTTTTCGGAGGAAGTGTTTGAACCAAAAAATGGGTAAGGCACAAAAGCTAGAGCCAATAAGAGAATAGGTCTGGAATGTACAATTGTACATTAAAATGAAGCGCGGGTCCAACAAAGACACGAACAGCATGGCCGATCAACCACTAAGCGCATAAACAGTCCCAGTAAGAGGCCTTGGTGGTGCCGAGTTTATCTATACACTCTTCCAATTCAATTTATAAGATATTTTTTAAAAGTAATTTTTGATTTAAAATGTAAAATATTTTATAATAATTAAATTACTTTTCTCTCTATATAATGAGGTGCAACGTATCATGACTAGAGGCGTAGATGTCATTGGAGGCCAGAGAATCATCATTACTTGCCTCAATCACTTACATATCCAAGATACTCATCATTACAATTCATATTTTGGGAGAGCACCTACACGCCCCTGCATCTATCATTCCATTCAAAAAACTTTTTTTCTCGCACTTTGTATTACATGTAAGCAGGCTGCATCATGCTTACATGTATTTTAATGATTGTTTTATATTTTACTTTTTCCGTTGTGACTAAACCCTATCTTAGCATATGGAAAACTACAGTAAGGAACCCTAGAAGCCCCTATGGTTTGATAGAAGTCACGAATACGTTGAGACCGTTTTCAATCTCTGGCATATCTCGCACACTCATATGATTCCAATAATTGTTTTTGACACACTCAACACTTGGTGGGCTATACAAAACTATTTTTGGGCTAACAGTGATATTATGAAATTTCAAGAGTTAGAAGCTATTAAAATAACAAAAAGGTTAATTGAACGAGCAAAAGATAAATTCTTATTCACAGACAAATATAAATTGTGCGCACGCGTGACTTGATAAGACAACCAATATCATGGAAGTGGTCCACAAAGAAGGAAAGAATTGCGCAGCATGGCTTTGTAAAACATATGTAGAATAATATCCTGATCTTATTTTATTGCACAATTCAAGTTAACGAAAACATCGGATTAGGTCTAGGAATACAAATATTGCACGTGGTCAGCTATGCTGCTCATTAATTACGTTAAAACCGTTGCGTCTTTTTCCACCACTATGTATCTTTTTTTCGGCCAATTGCAAATTCCACAAGCCAAATGCTCTTTTCTTTATAGAAACTTGTAAGAAATTTTAACGCTTAACTAATTTTATTCAAATTCTTTAGTTAATATCTAGAAAGTAGTAAAAAGGATTAAAAGAAGTATCATTCATGATTAGTTTGACAAAATGTTTGGAACCACATGGCGGATTTGTCCAATAAATCAATAAGATGCATAAGCATCAGATTGATTACTCTTCAAGAAAATATAGTGGGTTGTCATGAGCAAAAATATAAAGGAGGAGCTCATTTCAAAAGATTAATATTAAGATGAAAGAACTCTTCAAATTTTTAAAGAAAAAGCAAATTTAAAAAGAGAGCTTAACCCAAAAAAGTAGTCTGTTAAATAAAAAAATCATTCACACTTATAAACTTTACATCACTTATGAACCTTCCTGATGCAGAACTCATAACACAAGCTTGCAATACATGGTTTCAGATATCAGTTGCACTCATGCTCAGAAGCAACTCATTCTCTCTCCTTCTACCTTCTTAACCTACGTTTCTATTAATGACTTACAGAACTTTCACAGAGATGCCTTCAGGGGTTACAAGATTCGGTGAACGAGACACTACTGTTCTTTTCAAACATAAAAAAATGTCGCTCCAGTTACTCCTGAATAATATGCTCGCTAGCTAGGTATTGGCCTTGAAGGTGATATTCAAATATTCAGTTGCGCAACTTCTACTTACATGTGCAATATAAATTCAGGATGTTGAGTTTCTCTAATTATGCTGTGTCACTATGAAGAACCAAGTGACATTTGAGTCGTCATTTTCTGTAATCATACGAACTTTCACTTGCATCAGAATCTTCCACTCCTCTTTTATGCTCTGCTAGGCTACCATTTGATAAACATGTATGCTTATATCATAGAGTTTTCATTCTCCGATGTATTAAGCTTGAAAGGCGGGTTTTTATTTGGTTTAAGGTAATGGGCTCAATTGTTTGACTACATGCGAAAGAGGCCAATATATAATTTCTCTCTGCTGTAATAATCTGATGGGCCACATGTAATATGTCAAGTTACTCATGTTTAATTAGTTTCATGGCGGCTGGATGTGGGAATTTATACTTGGGAAAAAGAAATATATGAAAATCAAGTTTTTGGGTGGTCAAATGATGAATCAATGGCAAGCCACAAGTTAGCCAGGGCTAACAAATTAATTAAGCCTCAAGTCAAATGTAACAATATTTTTAGCATATGCATCTTCTGAAGTTACTATTATGTTTTATTTTTGGGGCCATCGACCAGTTCATATGTTCTAAAGTTGAACAATAATTAAGAAGAGCTGGACTAAAATCGTTACCCATCGTAACCAAAAAAAAAATGGAAATTCTGAGAGAAAGTTGACTTCTTCTGGGATGAAAGGAAACTTCTCTAGAGCAGACGTTGAGACACATAGAGTATGAGCTTTCTCGTGTTTATGCTTATTAGACAACTTTGCGACGAAACCTATGCATACTACTTGACGCTACAGGCAAGACAAAAAAATCTAGCCAGGATATAGTTTCGTGAACGATGACTCATTTCATGATGATTGAATGAAGTAACTTCCTTACTGGTCACTTTATCTCTCACATGCAAAACCCAAAAAATAAATAATAATAATAATAATAATAATAATAATAATAATAAGTAGAGAGTGGATGATTGCTGGGGATTAGATAAGGGAGATATTCAAAACTAATTAGAAGTTATATACTTACACGTCTTCGAAAAAGAAAAAGGCAAAAGCAGTCACACAACAACGTACACCTGAACAAGGCTCTAAAACTTAGTAATAAGGGCGATTAATCATAATAGAAATGGACCTTCTCAAATCGAAGATTGCAGCTCAGTTTGATAACCCTACCACCAATCTTGTCCTCACAACAATTTGGGATTTCCGAGATAGCCTTCTCTAAGCAAGCCTTGCAATCTTTCCTAGACAAATCCGGCGAGCACTGAGCAAGACCATAGACAGTTTCAACTTCATCAGCTATCTTATATCCCACAGCTAGTTTAAAACTAGAGTCCCCAGCAGCAGCTTTGGTTTGCAGGCTTCGCATCAGATCATTAAGGGCACTTGTGTACTTGTCTGCATCTTCTGCATCTTGTGGGTTGTTAAAACTGTACGAAAACTCAGGGAACCGATATATCCCCAACAATGAACGACTTGAGTATTGAAAAGTGCAAAAGTCATAGTATCCAAACGCGTCCTTCTGATTTGGACACAGCTTTGGGAGAAGGGTTTTGGCATCGTTGAGGCACTTTCGGCAAGAATACGGCTCCACATCTCCTCGGCACAGCCCTTGTGCGTGAACTTTATTGGGGCTTTCGCCGAAGGAGGAACTGTAGAAGCCATAGTCAATTACTGTGTCGAGAGTGAAACTGGAAAGAAGAGCATTGAGGTTTGTGTAATAAGCACTTGGCTTTATGTACGTTGCTTTGCCAAGTGAACAATTGTGATAAACGAAAGGAGGTGGCTGAGCGGAGAGAATGATAAGATGATTAGGAAGGAACCAAACCAGAGCCAAAGAAATGAGGACACAAGAGGTTGTCATCTTTGGGATGAAATGTGGGATGAGCAAGGGCAATACTTAATTAATTATCAGTACATTAACATATATATACTCAACATGTCAATGGAAAAGATGCAAATTATAAGTAGGCTAGTTTCTAGGAGTATAAGTGGTGCACATCCTTAAGGTCAGATCAACACTCATTAGCTCTTTGCATTATTTTTTGCTGCTGATTTGACGTACAGCACATCACTATTAGCCACTCAACAATGTCCATTCATTTGGGATTTAAATGCCCACTATGTCTGCATGGTTTGCATCCCCATCATAGATTGGGCCATTTCAAAAACCAAATTTAATCGAACGGTAGAATCAGTCCCACTAAATTTAATGAATGGGGTGGGATTTCTTATAACGTCTTAATTTCACTTACATTTAGACAACTTAACAAGTAAGTTTTGTGAGAATATAAATATTACACTTGGTCAACTATATATATGCTGCTCAACGCCATGAAACTGTTGCATCTTTAATTTCTTCCACAAGTTAATATGTACCATTATGGTTTAATTTGAGAGAATGCGTGGAGAAACGTGGTAGAATCACGGCCGTCCAATAAATCAATGGTAGGAAACACTTTAATTTGATCTGATGAGAGATTAAGACAAGGGCGGGAAGCCTCCAAAACTTCAGATCCATTTCTTCTTCTCCTATGCTTTGGAGTTGGATTGTGTGCTCACATGTTTCCAATCTACGGTTGTTATTAACTTGGTACATTTTCAACGGGCAGAAACAGTATATATTTTCAAGATGTGAATGGTAATCATCAATTAGTGAATATAATTATGTATGGCCAAATAAATTAACGAATTTAATGTCAACCACAAAAATGAAAAAGACGTAACAGTTGAAGCCATAGACGAACACAGAATTCGATCATATATATTATCAATATTTATTTTCAAAATTTTTGTGTACATGTAACATGGTATCATATGTACGAGAATGGGCTTTCTGTATAATGCAGTCATTTTTTTTAGCAAAGTATAATTCAGTCATATTGAAACTTACATTTTTTTATTTTATTAATTATAAATTTATGATTATTGAGGAATGGAATATATGTCTTCTTTGGCCAAAAAGAATAATGAAGTTATGATAGATTTCAACATGAAAAAAGCATGAGGGAAAAAACTAGTATAAATACACGCGCGCGCATACATACTCATACATACATGATATACATACATACATATGTACATACATATTTTGAGTCATTCTCTTTACAATTTACAAAAGAAAATATGCTCCCTCTATTTCCTATCATAAGTCACATCTTAGAAGATTTTCACATTTATTGTATGTGTGTAGTTATTTGATTGGGTTGAATTTGAGCATCGTTGGATCCAATTAGACAACTCTCAAAGAAATTTTCTACGGTCATACAAAGTCAACCCAATAACTCAAGCTTAAACATTCATGCCCCTTCTATTAGGACTAGTGCGTACACGTCGGCAGAAGGTTGGCATAATTATAGATATAAATCATATTGCAAAATGTTTAGTGCATTAAGTTGAATTAACAAAGTTGAATCAGAGTCATGGGACATGTAATAGTGTCAGGTTTTCCAGGATACCAAGCTATGGAATAGAAGAATTATTTTGTATATTGATTCTCTCCCAGGAAAAAGATGGTGTTGACATATATTATGTAATCTCATAAATAAATGATATATGTGATCAGGGATAATTTAAATGCCAATTTTAACAATTATTTCAAGGCTAAAATACATAAAGCCTCTCTAAATTTAAAGACAGTTGTATATAACCTTCTTCACCTTTAAAAATTTGAAATTAACCCCCAATCTTTAATTTTATTTTTCAAAACCCCCTATTTTTAATTATATTATTTTTTTCATGAGGATTAAAATGTCATTCAACTAAAAAAGGTTATTAAATAAAAATATTATATTATATAACTATTTATTATAGATTTCTTACATTTTTTGATAATTAAGGCATTGATAACCAAAAGAAATATTATTATCACTGTATAAAATTTTAAATATTTATGTTTATATTATTTTTATTTATTTTTTTGTTATCAATGGTGCATGATTTTATTGTTTTAAAAGATAAATTTTTATTTATATTTTCATGTTAGATAATGTAATGCACATGGTTAAAATATTTAAAATTTTAAATATTACCATGTTAGATTAATTTATCTTTTAATACTAGAAAATCAGGCACCATTGATGATAAAAAATATAAAAAACTAACACAAAAGTAAATATTTAAAATTTTATATGGTGATAATAACATTTGTTTTGGTTATTATCAATGCCTCAACTATCTCAAAAATATAAAAAAGTTATTATAAATAGTTATACAATATAATACTTTTATTTAATAATATTTTTTTGTTGAATGACTTTTTAACTCTCGTGAAAAAATAATACAATTAATAATAGGAGGTTTTGCAAAACAAAATTAAATGTTAAGGGGTTTAATTTTAAACTTTTAAAGGTGAGGGGAATTATATGCAATTGTCTCAAAGTTTAGGAGGGTCTTATGCATTTTAGCCTTATTTTAATCCTTTTAAATTACTTAATGTGTTGTGCAACAACTTAACAAGGAATTCTTATATCCCAAGCTATTAACGGTATTGCAGACATTTAGTTTTTTAATTCTAAGAGCCATAACTATTCGTATTTAATTCAAATATCTGTGGAATTAATTATAGCCTAAAGTCAACACTATTATTTAATTTCTCATATAAGATTTTTTTTTGTCTATCTCTACAATTAATCCCTTTAATTTGTATACAATCCAATTCATGGATGAAAAGTTTAAATTCAAACAGAAATATTAATCAAAACCATCAACAAAGTACAAGCGGTTTTGATTTCTGGATCATAAGCTGTAGATTTAAGTTTCTCAAGAGTTTGTCGGTTTAGAACATGGTTTTTTCCTTATTCAGAAGCTTCCAAAATGTCATGATGGACTGGAAATTAATATATAACTTATTTTTCTCATAATAATAATAATAATATAGAGTATATCCAAGAAAAGCACCCAGCAGGATAAGATAGAAAGATAAAGATGAATTTTTATTAATTATTAATAGTCAATCAATATAAAGTCATATAAATATACCATTTCATAACCGTAAATTATAAAAATGTCTCTCATTTTATTTAAAAATCTAATAATCAATAGAAAAATAACAAAATCAAATTAATGAGATGAGATAAGAGAGTGATTTCGATCAGGTAAGAGCCTAAGTTTAGTCACTTAATGAGTATTTTATGTAATACAATAACAACTATGCAATTTAATTGAACAGTTATGAAAAATATAATTGTCATATATAATAATTAAAAAAAATATTAAATCTCAATTTTTTTAAGGAACAACATGTGAAAAATTCTTTGATCTGGTGATAATTATTTTAATTTTTTTAAAAAAATTTAAAAATATATATTTTAATAATTTTTAAATATTGATAAAATTTAATAATTATAATTGGAAGACAATAATCTAGGTTACTTTTCGAATCCAAATGGGTGGTAGGAGAGTGGATAGAGCATCAGAGGCCCTGGGCCCATTTATCTATCGTTCGTTGACACCTCGGTGGCTCCGCCTATTCAATGCTTGTGAAAGATAACAGCGTTATGCAAAACAATGAACATAAAACAGAGTATTTAATTAATTAAATTAAAGTTAGTAACTGAAAAATCAGGTGTAGAAAACCACAATCATGGCATCAGCAGAGGATTAATGTCTTGTACTCCCTGCATGGTGAACACGTTTAAGCTTAGAATCCACTATCATTATGTCACTCAGAAAAAATAAAGCACCCTTTTCAATGCATGCCATTGATCTCCATAGCTCTTGTGTTCGTTATAAACCATCCTTCCCTGAGCTCTGTTCTCATCTCATCTTTCTCAATACCTCTTTAAGTTTAATTTCTTACTGGAAGTTCAATCTTAACCATGGCAGACCAGCCAGTTCCGCCGAAGAAGACGAAGGGCCAGCAGAAAGTCGAAATCAAAATGGTGGAAGACGCTAAAAGGCGTAGTGTCACATTCACAAAACGCAAAGCTGGGCTTTTTAAGAAGGCCGACCAGCTCTGTACTCTCACTGGCGCTGAGGTCGCTCTCATGGTGTTCTCTCCCGGAGGCAAGCCTTACACGTTCGGCAGTCCCGACGTGAACACCGTGATACAGAGATACAAGAGTCAGGTTCGGCCATCGCCGAGGATGGAGCAACTGCAAGCCGAGCTTAATGAAATCTTGGAACAGTTGGCTTATGAGGATAAGCGAGCCGAGGAGCTGAAGGAGAACAAGAAACAATTGCTGGAACAAACGTGGATGGCTGCACCAATGGATACATTGTCTAGGGCTCAAAAACAGTGTATGCAGGAGCGACTAGTGCAACTGAACAAAGTACTCTCTCAACTTCCTCCTGGCTTATTAAACTTGCATGGATTATTGGCGGCACCTCCTCAGAATTCGGCGTCCGAGTTTCAGAGTAGTTCCTTGACTGCGTTGTTGACTCAGACTCCGGAGCTCCAAGGAAGTTCGGTGCTATCACGTGGAACCTCCACGGCACCGGTGACTGGAAGTCAGAATTTTACAGGAAACATGATGATTACACCCTCTGGTAACTTCTACACAGGTGAGTCGTCATCGGCGGTGCCTGCGGGAACTCAGAATCATGTGTTTAACATGATTCTGAACGGCCATGACAACTTCCGCGAGGGCGAATCCTCATCAATGGTGCCAGCTGAGAGTCATAATAACATGTTTGAGGAAAATGGCATGCTGAACAGCTATGGAAACTTCAACCCAGACGAACCGTCGGCACCATTGCCGGCAGAGAGTCAGAATCACATGTTTGACGAAAACATGATGCTGAACGTCGATGACTACCTAGGCGAATCGTCGTCAATGGTACCGGCAGAGACTCGGCATCATATGCTTGAGGATAACATGATGATGCCGGGGGACAGCAATGATAACTTATACATAGACGAATCATCGTCAATGGTGCCTATGTTCGAGGATAACATGATACTGAACAGTCAAGAGGACTTCTACACAGGTGGATCCTCATCAATGGCGTCAGAAGCTCAGATCATAATGTTTGGCGATAACATGATGCAAGCAGCCAATGACAACTTCTTGACAAGCGGATCCTTATTAACTGCAGATATGACTGGTCACCAGAATCAATTTTATGATGAAAACATTATGATTCCTCAACATGACAACTTCAATGCTCGTGGATCATCGATCGCAGTGCCACCAGCTGATGGGAATCAAATTTTTGATGAAAACATCATGGTTCCTCCACATGATGATAACTACTACATATGTGAATCTTCGTTGGTGCCGACAACTTATGAGAGTCTGGATTTTGATGAAAACATGAGGTGGTTGCTAGATGATCAATTCTATGGAAGCAGTTCCTCTATGGCGCTGCCAGAGCAAGGTCAAATGTTTGATGGAAATGTGATTCCGCCGCCGCCGCCTCCTCCTTATGATGGATATGGTGCTGGACCTTCAGGGTTCAACTGATCTGTGTTTCGTGTTACTGAGTCTGCTTTAGTGTCTTCAGTGTCGATGAGTTGTATTTTCTGTTTCCCATGTTCTGACCAACAGAGACGAGGAGAGATAGAGTTTAGTTCAAATGTCGGAGAGAGGGGGGTTACAAATTAGTTTGTCTTCTGAAATGGACAGGAAGTCACAGGAGCAACACCTATGAGATGAATAAAAATATAATATAGTTTCAGAAGCGTTCAAGTCTTGCTTAGCGTAATCCAAATTCTCTTTTTTAAAAAAAATAAAAAAAGCTTAATCCAAATTCATGGAGGAAAGGGAATGAATATCGGTCATGCATCAAATAAGTGTTGAATGTATGAGAGAGAGAGAGAGAGAGAGAGAGAATGAATCTCGGTCATTTGTTCGGTGGAATTAAGTGCTATATGGATTTTCTTACCAAGCTAGCCTGAGCTTGTATTGGTTTGCTGATTCATACGTAGAAAGAAAATGATTATATTCTCTCTCACCAACAGTTAATTGATGATAAAAGAAGAAACTTATAATAAAAAATTAATAACGCAATCTACGTAAGTGGGATTTTTGTCCCCCCACCTTATAAATAGGATAATAGGAATTGTAGATTTTTACCAAGCTAGCCCATGCATGTATTAGCTGCTAATTAATATAGGAGGAGAATGAATCCTGGCCATTCATTTGATGAGATTAAAAGATTCGGAATTTTTTTTAACCAAGCTAGCACCTGCTTGCTTGCATTGGTTAATAAATTAGTAACTTGTTAGATTTGTATTAATTGTAAGTGAAATAAAATATAAATGAAAAGGGATCTAACAATAAAGAGAAACAAATCTTGAGGAGTCTTAACCAATACGTTGTTTCACACATGCATTATATGGTCTCCTAGAATATGAATGAGAATTAGCCGATCTTTTTCTTCTTTTTTTTTTTTTGTGGTTAAGGGTTCTCAACTTTACCCTTCATTAAGGACCCTAAATTTAACTGCAACTCAACATTAAAAGTTTTCTCATTTATTACCCTAAAATTAAAAACACTTAATATTCATTAACCATCAATAGACCCCATTTTTTTAATATTTTATTGAGTTAAGAGTCATTTTTATCCTTTAACTTTAATTTTATTTGAAGGGTTAGTATGTATCCTCAACTCAAATATTTTATAATAAAAAATATTTTAAAAATGCATTGTGAAATATGGGGTTCACTAAGGCCCTGTTTGGTGCGTAAGAACTCTATCTGTGGAAACGGAATTAGACACAGAATCTAATTTTCAACATGTTTGGTATGATAGAATTTGGACTCTTAAGAATCAGGATTCCAGCAAAATGGCTAGAATTAGATTCCATCACAAGCACGATAGAATTGTTATGGAATCATCTCTTGGACATTTTGGCCCTCAGTATCACTCACTCTACCTACTGCCTTCACACACCCCACATGATCCTTACCGCTGCCACCCCCTTCATGAATCAAACCTTCATGGCCACCACTACAAGCATCCATATATGATTCAATATGAGTCATGAAATTAAGAGCTAGAGTTGTCAAATGTTCATTAGGGTCAACAATTTTGGTGGTTGCAAAATCGAAAACTAGCTGAGTGCTTGGGACAACAATCCTCAGGATCTGAAAGCAATCACCAGGTTTCAGGCTTTCTTTGTGAACTTTGGCTCCGAGGCGGAAGTCTCAGCGTCCATGGTTAAGAACGTTCATCAAGGTGCTTGTGGGGAATTTGCGATCAAATCGTCCAGCAATGTTGTGGCATTCTTCATCTGTGCGATGGGTGCTTTGTCCCTTGCATCACTCAAAATTCTTGAGAAAGCTACTGTTGCAGTGGGATACTAGGTGGAGAAGAGCTAATAGTGTCGAGGGTGAGAAAGAAGACCATTAATCTTAAAAAGAGCAATTTGGTCTTTTCAAATTTTAAGTATATATTTTATTAAAATTATATCAGGATTCTATCTTCATACCAAACACTTTTTTTAAATTCAATTCTATTCCAATTCTAATTCTAATTTCAATTCTGCTTCCGATTTCAATTCTATCAAAAACTCTTTCATCATACCAAATGAGGTCTAACAATCAATTAACAAAGAAAAAATGACATGGTAATAAAAGAAAGAATCTTTAAAATTAAAAAATAAAATTGACTTATAATTGAGTTTAGGATAAAGTTAAAAAGTAAAAATGATTCTTAATTTTTTTTTATTTTTTTCCCTAAGAGATTTAACTTATCTACTCGTTTAGATAGCCTCATTGGAATATCAATCAGCTTCATTTGTAGAAACATGTCTTGGTCTTAAATCTCCTCTTAATGGCTTCGTGACTCACAAAAATGGAAATCAAGCTCGAGATGCTTTGTTCTAGCATGAAGTATACATATGGATTGGATTTCATTATCACAATAATTAAAAAAACATGTATTAAGCTAATGTTGACATTCAATTCCAAAGTTAAAGATTATTTCAAAGCAAATTTCACCACTGCAATAAAATCGAGCTTCTATGCATTCAGCTTTCACGTTCCATATATTGTGCTGGATTCTTTCCTAGAAAAGTAAAAACTGTTTGTGTGCTTCTTTGATAATCTAAGTTAAAAGCGCAATGAGCATCATATATATATGTGTAGTATGCCCTCAGCTGCAAGTCTTTCGAAACAAATAATGCAAACCAGAATTTAAGGTTCCTAGAAAAGTACATTTGGATGCAGATGCATTTAGTATCTTGCACGCTTGAAGGCTCCTATAAAGTTTTTTTTTATTTTTTTGTGCACATTAACTTGTGTTAGAGCTAATAATGTCAATTGATTCTATTCCATGAACACAGTTGATCACTACCGCTAGTGTATAAGATCAATGTAATAATAATAATTTCTTGAATATTTTAAGAGTCGAACCTAATTATAAGAAAGCACTTAACTTTGTTATTTTAAAAAAGCAAATAGTTGAAAAAGAGATTTAATATATAATTAATTAACGTGAATAAAAGCAATGACAAAAATAGATGAACCAACCAATCAAGTGAACGTCAGGATTCAAGGTTCACCTATTATAATAGTTTAATATTATTTAGTTATTATATATTTCCTTTTATTTATTGTGATAATAGTTACTAAAGTATCTTAATTACTTTCCAATATATTAGGACGTGTTTAATTAACTAGCATTGAATTGGCTCCCACCTAACTCAAAAAACATTAACTAGATCTTGAAGTTATAATTTAAGTCACCACGAATCCTAAATTATTCCTAATTCAGTTATCTGAGTCTATCTCTATAAGTTTAAGTTAATTTTTTACCTTTTAATTCATCAAACAACCCACAGACATATCATATAATGACCAACTATATAATAGCATAATTAAATCAAGAGATCTAAATATAAATATAAACATAAATTCTCATAGATAACAAGAAAATTAAATAAATTGAATTTAAAAGAGAAAATTCACCCTAACTAGACTACTCCCCACCCTGGCTGAGTGTTTAGATAAAACTCAGAGTTATGGCAAAACATCCTAATAAAAGACATAAACTAAATCTAAAAAAGAGAGAATAGGGAAAACTCATAGCTCAGAAGAACTCTTTCAAACTCTGTACTTTGCATCCAAGCTGTCTAATTTTAGGACCATAAAATCGTAAAAGCCTGTTAGCCCAAGTCTCTTAGCCTTTTTATTTTAATTCTTTTAATTCAAGATTAATTCTGTAGCTGCCATGAGTTTATGATTTTTCATCCACTCGCAATCTTGCCCTTTGTATTTTCATCCGTCCACAGTTGAATCACCTACCAACATTTAAGCTTTTCCTCAACCACGACCGGACGTAACTAGAGATGTAATTCTTCATCCTTTGGTGCGTTTTTGGCCTTTTTTGTCTCCTTTTCTCTACAAATTAAAATACCTACAATACTCAATGAGGCAATATAATCTACTTTCTTATATGTTTTTATATCATAATAACTTTAGATTGGGAGCCAAATCATATTAGAAATAGTGTATTAAATGTCTGTATCAACAATTATTCTTTCTTCAACATTCCATTTTATTATTTGTATCAATTTTGATGGACATTTCTATTTTGACTGAGAGCCTCCAGATGAGGATAATTTACATTGTAGAGCCTCTACATTTGAACTAAAAGTTTCAGTGAACTTCAAATTCTACCAGAGAAAGTTTTTTCCAGCAGCCTAGGTTTGTGCTATTTTGAATGCTCCCACAAGACTTTTTTTTTTTTCATTTTGAAGTTTAAACACCGATCCACAGCACTACACCCGATTGTATTGTTTTCCTTCAGGTTTGCTTATTGGAATTCACCGTTATATATCATATATATCCCTTAAAATTAAAAAATCCCCTTTTAATTTAATCGTTTGGCATTCTATAGCTATTGTACATCTTCCTAATAAATTAAACCATCCTACCTCTAATTTCAGTGTCACTCAAAAACAACTATTCATCAGTCTCAAAAATCAACCAACCTCTTATCTTCTCCTCAATGCCAAGCTTAAGGAAGAAGTCATGGAACAATTGGCATTTGAGAAGCGATGAGCAGATCAGGAGCTGAGGAAGAGAGTGAAGGAGACAATGAAAGATATGTGCAGGGTCTCACTTTCTCTCCACATACAACTCAAGTATGTAGAGAGAGAGAGAGAGAATCTTTGGCGGATCGCAAAATCTGGAATTTGAATATCTAAGCGGTTCCTTCACTGAGATGTTGACTACTGATCAGTCCATGCTATTGCAGCAACACATCTGAATCTTCAGTGGCCTCGGAGGCTCAGAATCAGATCTTGGAGGATAATATGATGTTCACAGACATTGATATAATTACTTCTCCACTTGCAGATCCACAATGGAGCCGGTCGATAACTTCTGCACACGAGGATCCTCGCTGATAATCAAATTCTTGAGGAAATGATTGTGGTTAATTCCTCTAGATGGTCATTAAATTCGAAACCTGTGGATCCTCTATCGGTGGCACGACCAGAGGCGGAGAATTTGATTTTTGATGAAAACAGTGAGGCTTCCACTTGATCGGAATGGAGACAAAAATACCGAGAAGAGAATACTGTAAAAAAAAAAAAAACCTCTGAAAAATGATAAAATCTTTTACTAATTTTAAGATTTTCCTTCTCGTCTAAACCACGCACCAGGGTTCAACTCATCTGCTCCTTGGCATTTTGGTTTATTATGCTGGGCTCGAGTGTGTTGACAATATTCTGACCCATAGTGAGGAGGAACAGATAGGATTCGATTCCAAAGTTGGAGAGGGGGAAGGGAGAGGATAGGGTACATATGACCTAGGGCATACCATTAGTTTGTCTTCTCTTGAAGTGAATATGGATCTTACCGTACTTCCCCACATACACTCCATTGAGTCCCTACTACGAACAAGGCACCTTCCATTATCTTTCGAAATGAAAAAGAGGTAGTTAAATTATTAAATTTGTCTAAAAATATAATAAATTTTTAATTTTATCTCTATTAAAATAAGAAAATTATTAAATTTATATTATATTCTCTCTCATAATTAATAAGTTTAAATACAAATAATATGAAAAAATATAACTAATACCTCCGTATGTCTTATTAAGAACAAAAAAAATGCTTCTTGAGAAGAAGTGGGAGAACAAAAATATACTTCCCCATTTACACTAGGATTTAATTTATATTTAAGTTCTAAAACATAATTTTATGAAGCCAACTTGCTCTTAAAATTTTATTTATATCAAATATATGTAAGGTATCTTAACCAAATTATGTCTATCATTAAGTTAATTAAATGTCCTTAAATTGATATTATCTTTAATGTTTGTCTTTATTTAATAGGATATCTTACTTAAATGAAAAGGTTTGAATGATTTATTTGTTAAAGATATTTAAAAAAATTTATTAATTATATATTGAAAAACTAAAAATAACTAATACTCAAAGGTAGTATAGATTTGATGGATTGTCTTCAGGTAAACTTGAAATCTAGGTGGAGTCAGGTAGGTTCATGGATCCCACATGTTATTGAGGGAGATTTATGGGTCCTACATGTCAGGTGGGGCCACCCAAACTCCTACCACCCATTCCTCCATCTGCATGATCTTGTGCCAAGAAACTCTAAGTGTAATGTCAATAATCAAGGATAAAACAGCTTATAACCATGTAATAGCCCAACTCAGAACTGGTGGAAGGCTCAACTTTTAGCTATTAAAACTAAAGAATAATAAAAATTTTACTTTTTAAAATTTATTTTAATTATCAATTTAGTTCTTCAAATTTAATTTTTATTAGTATAGACTTTTGTTAGCAACAAAAACTAATCTTCCTTAGAATATATAGAAGGTGAAACATATATCCTTTTTCATGGTGATAGTTTATGATAGTGGTTGGCCATAAATAAAAATAATTTACAATTGCCAAATATAATGTACTTTAAAAATTTAAAAAAAAAAAACTCTGCGATGTTTTTATTTTTTATTTGAAAAAATATAATATTTTTAAAAAATAATTAAATCCAAAATACTTATTAAATAATTTTTTATTTTTAAAAACAGAAAATAATTTTTAAAAATAGAACTCAGACAAGCAACTACCAAAAGTCACACAACTAAGTGCAAATGAACCCATGACATTATACTAACAATACACGAGACTCCCCTTTTTTTTTTGGGCCCCCGGTAGAGATTACATAAGACTCTCCTTCATGCACATTATTTGCTGACACAATGTCTACATAGAGCCCATTAGTGTGTGGCCCAAAGAAAGAAACGAAAGTCCTCTTGCATTTGTATGTTCTTATGGATTTATTTAGGCCCACTGAATTGGAGTATAGATTTTTCATGGGCCTTAGGTAGAAGTCCATTGGCCATTTGGAATATGCAAGAAGCCCACTCCTTACATAACTACAAAATGCAAGGTTTAGGTTCAAACTACGTAAAGATAAATGCATCCTCAACATCTTAAGAGGGAGAAATAAAGAATTACTCCCTTCATTTATGAATATAAGAGAAACTGTCACATGATATTTTTTTTTGTTACAAGTACAATTGCACATTTCAATAAGCATTCATCATTTAATTGATTGAGTACAAAGGTATTTTAATCCAATTTTTTATTTCAATACATAAATATTACAAATAACCAATTTTCTTAAATTGTGTGAGTTAATCATTTTCTCTTATATTTAGGAATAGAGAGAGTATGTGCGCATCATTAATTAAGCGCTAAAGTTAGCATCGTGTACAAGGTCAAGGCCCAACTCTTAGGAATGGTAATCAAGATTGCATTACCATCAAAAAGGTTTAATTTGAGTGGTTTAGGAATTAAAAGTTAATAATTTCATGATTCATAGGTCCTCTTATCCTATATGAATCCTAAGTACCATCCAGATCTACTTTATATACAAGTTTCATATCTATGTTTCAAATTTCATATTTGTGTTGTTATGCGCAGCATTTGATTCTTGAAGATAAAGGAGCTTGTGGTTCATGTCGTTTTATGATGTCTTCTTTTGTTTCAGATTGTTTCCAAAGTGGGAACTGATCATTAGCTGTGTATAAGGGGAGCTTGTGTCTTATCATACAAAGGAAGAAATTGTCTGGGGTCATGTTCGTCTTTTCATTCATATTTTTTAAAAAAAAAAGTCATTAAATAATTAAAAAAATTCTTATTTTAACATTATTTAAATATCTTACCATACAAAGGCACAGTAGTCAACATTGCATTGCATTGAGTAGGTCTAAAATGAAACTAAATATTTTTTATTATTGTTACTCACGGATATTTTTTTATCAGATTTTGGTTTTTTACATTCGAGTTAAGGAAAGCTTTGTTCCAAAGAGCATTAATCTTTATTACATATCCATAAATTATTGGAGTCAGCCATTCTGTTACGAGGTTGACCCATAGTACGAAATTGGGCTGAAGCCCAAAATGTCCCCTCTGAAAAGAAAACAGAGAAATCGTCAAATGAATTATGCTTTTTGTGATATCCAAAAAACAAAAAACAAAAAATGATGCTTTCTTGTGAGCCAGATGAAAAAACATAACGTACTAGATGGATGTAAATCAATAATTATCTGTCCATTAGCCTTTTTATTAAAAAAAAAAAGAGTTAAAGAAGCAAACGTGGGGGATCCAATGATGACGTGTAATGAATATGTCACTGCAACATTTCTAACACAAGAAAAACATTGTCTTCAATCAACAAGGATTGATCTAGTCAAAGAATTAAACAAATGTTTGAATTTTTATTAGAAGAATTAATGTAATAAATTGCCTCTTCTAATAAAAAGATCCCTCCATACAAGCCAAAAACCAAGAACGTTGTCTCTTAAGGAGAATTTCCAGCTCATGCTTATGATTATAATATTAAAAATTCCATTTACCAATTAACAATATCGAAAATTAAAAATTACAATTGCTTATATTAAACAACGTATTTAATGTTCCATAAATTGCAAAGAAAATATGATACGTATACGGTTTTACGGAACCCATATATATCCGACGAAACACACGTGTGGCACACGCATGAGATCATCAAGAAAAATAATTTTTTTTTCTTCATTTTGTTGAATTTCTATATATGAATTTATTCTAAATTTAAATTCCAAACAGCTTATCAACTTTCCAAGAGGAAAACGACTGTGTGATGTGAATATATATATATATATATATATATGTATGTATATATATGTATATATTTTTTAGCCTTAGTGATGTGAAGACTTATCCTTGTTCCTCGATATTTGTATGTGAAAATCTTCTCAAAGTGTGAAACTGGCATGTCATTTATTGAGTTCCTTATGGTTTTCCCTCAATTCCAGTCTGTCTTCGCTTTATTAAAAATGACTACTAAAAATGATTCATCTCGGTTTTTATTATGTTTAATTTTGAAATATTTTTATGCATTCAATTGCCATATTTTTTTGAAAAAATATTAACAAAGATATAAAAAAATACATATAGATATTTTCCTTTAATTTTTCTTTTTTCCTAAAGGATAAGTCAACAATTTTTTCTTTTATATATATATATATATATATATGAGTGCGCGGTTTTAACCTGTGATTAATGGCCTTATACTATTAAATCAAATCAAATTTAATTATTGCACAGTAATAATCATCTGAGTCAATATTCTGGCGAACATAAAAATGCTCTTAATTATATTAGGATTTTGCTAAAGTCAAAATCTGAGTTATAATGCCAAGCAGTATAAATACAGTAGAGGAGGTGCATATTTGGGTCATAAATGGAGATTGAGATTTTATAACTTCCTAATCTTGGGCTAATAATAAAAAGTAACAAATCATTAAGAAGGGACAGTCAATTAATCGGATTAATTGCAATAAACCAAATATTTAGCAGTATAAATACCAAAATGATAATCTCTCCACTCCAACATCAGTAAAATATTTTGCTTTCTTTTTTATCCTTCAAACATGAAGAGAAAGTCCAGTTCAGGTCGTCAAAAGATTCCTATTGAGAAAATACCAAAGAAAAGCCATCTCCAAGTCACATTCTCAAAGCGTCGCTCAGGTCTCTTCAAGAAAGCCAGTGAGCTATGCACACTCTGTGGCGTGGAAATAGCCATCATCGTCTTCTCTCCGGCCGACAAGGCCTTCTCCTTCGGCCACCCGGAGGTGGAATCCATCATCGACCGCTATCTCAGCCGGAACCCTCCGTCGGAATCCGGCGCTCACCCCCTGGTCGAGGCTCACCGGAATGCAAACGTCCGGGAGCTGAACATGCAGCTGACACAGCTTCTGGGACAAGTGGAGACGGAGAGGAAGAAAGGAGAAGAGATGGAGCAAGTGAGGAAGGCGAGGCAGAGACAGTTCTGGTGGGAAAACCCTATTGAAGAACTAGGGTTTGATGAGTTGCAGCAACTGGTGGTTGCAATGGAGGAACTGAAGAAGAACTTGGGGAAGATGGGGAGCAAGATGTTGATGGAGCATAATAGTTTGGCTACTGAGTCATCAGTTATGGGAATGGGAGGAACAAATGGTGGACTTGGACGTTATAATAATGATGTCTTTGAGTATAAACATGGTGCTATGAACAATATTAGTGCTGCTTCGTCCAGTAATATTCTTCTTCCACATCATGCCTATAACAATCTCAATTGTAGGCATGGATATCTATGATTGCTTTTCTTTTTAAATTTTGTGTTCTTTTTCGTTTGTTTGGAATAATAATTGTATTGCAAAACTAGCTCCTACATTGCTAGCTGTATTTTCCATTATTCTCTTCCTGGTTTCAATAAGGCTGTGTGTGTGGGATAACTATATGTATAATATTGCAAATAATGGGTCCATAAACGTTAAGCACTACAATAATTAAGATTCCAAACTGTTTTATATGGCTTTGTTTGCTGCTGTTGGAATAAGGTGAACAACTACGCTCGCTTTGTGATTAAAAGTGCCATTAAAGTAAAAACAAAAACAAAAAAAGATACTCTTTCAATTTAAAAATGTAAGGCATTTTTAACTGAATCTTATCTCTCAATAAAATAATTACCTACTTTCTAGCTAATCCTATCTTTTTATATTTATCCTTATTAAACATCCTATAATAAATATCAAGTTATTATCAATAAGGGCACTTTAAAAAAAAGATAATGATTACATCTAAAAAAATTAAGAATGCCTTATATTTTTTAACATCTAACCTCTTAAAAAATATATTTTTTAACAGAGGAAGTAACTTTTAGTCCTCAAATTTTTTTTCAATTATCGATTCCATTTCTAAAGTTTGACTTAAAACAATTTAGTTGTTATAATTTTTGACTCAACAACTAATTACTTCTTATAATCTCTTAACTTAATATAAAACAAGGGCTGAATTATAGTGAATCAAAATTTAGGGACTAAATTAATAATTAAAAATAAGTTTAGGAACTAAAAGTTATATTATTTTAAAAGATGCTGCAAAACCCTTTTTTTTCTTTTTCTTTCTTTTTTTTTTCTTTGTTTTGCAGGGTGAATGGTTTTGCCAAGCCGCCGGACCAGTTGCTCAGCTGTTTTGTTTCATAGCCTTGAAATTACTTTATTTAAGCAAAGTGTTAGATTTCGTCAATTTTTTTATTATCATGAATTTTTTTTCAAGTAAGAGAGGAAAATAGCGCGATGGATCTAAAATGAATTATTGGAAATTTGGAATCTGAACATTAATCTAGTTGTAATAGCACGGATTAACGTGGTTGAGTAATGAAGCATCAATCAGTATACAGAAAATGTTAGCCCATAAGAAAAAACAGTAGATAGAATAATCATTCATATCCTCCATATTAAGATAAAGATTCTATAACTTCCTAACCTCGGAGTAATAATTATGATCTTTTTATCTCAAGTAATAATTATGATTGAATCTCACATAAAGATTAATGAAATACACATGTCTGTAGTCCAGCTAGCAATCTTAACCATTATGAAGAGAAGAGCCAGCACTCCTGAATTGGGAGAAACTTGTATAGAATGTGTTTCTCATGCAAGTGTTAAGGTAAAATGGAAGAAATTCTAGTTAAAAAAAAAAAAAAACTTACAATTAATGTTTTAACTTGAAACAATTAAGGGAATCCGTTGTTGGTTTGTGTTGTGGTCACATAGAGGCTTAGATCAGGTGTACCATATACTCTTTGGGCCGTTAAGACAGCCCACCCTATAAACCCGGGCGGGGCGGGCCTGTGAGGCCCAAAATAGTATTCCCTGAAGCTAATACAATTATTATTGACATAATTTTTTAAACAAATTAAATATCCAGATTTGTCCTCCGTTATTATTATTTTTTTTTAACAAGAATATCAAGTTATTAATGATAGAATGAAAGCTTACAAGTAAGAGCCCAAGTTGATAAGATAGCCTAAACCCTTGGGCTCTACTGTTTGACAGATTTATCATTTATCCCATCCTTGGACGAAGAAGGAATTAGATGGAGTAGAAAGCTGTGAAAGAAAATAAGAAAAAAGAAACGTGCCTCTAATGTTTTCTTTCGAAAATTTTATCTTCAAAAGAAAACATGCCTTCTAAATTTTTCCACGTCTTTCTAACAAGAATACATTGTTATTGTGAAATTAACCATTTCCTTCTCTCTGTTTTTTTTTTTTAACCCAAATATAGATGCATAAAACATTTTCTTTCCATTCCATTTTTCCTTTTCTCCAATTTTCTTTCTTCATTTTCTCCCCTCCTCCACAGAAAAGATTATTATTCAAAATTACTACTTCTTTAGATCATAGTATATATCATTGATAACTAATTCATATTTTATAAAAAAAAATGTTAGTTAAAGCCTTATTTTCTAAAAAAATGTGGACATATTTACATTTATATCCTTAAATTTCTCTAATAACATATGCATAGTCTTTAGATATAGAGCATTTAAAGACAAGAAATGAAAAAAAAAAAAAAGCAATGGTATAAATGGTAAAAAAATTACAAAATTTACCTACAGCTTTATATTTTGAATCAAGGGGTGCTTGTAAAAACTAACTTATATCGTGATTTAGTAGGAGTATGATATAAAGCAGTATTAGCATTTTTTTTTATCAAGTAGTATTGATCTAAAATACATGACACTTTATCAAAAGTCAATAGCATTAAATTGTTCCTTTTTGACAAATATACTTTTTAATTATTTACAGATTTTTTTTTATTTGAGCCAATCATATTTAAAATATGATTGAGTATTAAATATAAATATGTCTTTCGAACCTTATATACAAATGTCTTTAATTAGAAGTATGTATGATCAACTGGGAGAGAGCAAGGCAAACTAGAGACAGGAAGAAATCATAAAGGCATAACTACTAGGAATGATGCTGATGAACTCATGAACACCTCCTGCTAAGGTTGTCGAGCCTCTCCTGCCAAGGATGCGCATCTCCATCTGGAAATGAGGTGGATGCGCAAGTCCGGACAGCAGAAGCCACGTGTCTGACATTATTAATCCTTATTTTCTACTCCATTAAGGAGAGCCTTCTCTTTATTATGCTTCTGCCTTTTCTAAGCAATTTCACTTCATCATTATATGCGTTTAATCAAATCCTATCTCCCAGGCAAAAACCAATTGAGTGCTAAATGTCTTGATCGCAGAGGCCACGCCTTTGAAGGAATTCGATTTGCTTTTTCTAATGAGTGTCCTGTGCAATCAATGAGATGGATATAATAAAAAAGATTAGTTTCTCAGATAAATCAAAATTAAACTAAAATTTTTATTAAAAGATATGCTTATATTTAATATTTAATTGTACTTCAAATAAAATTATTTTTAATAAAAGAATATTGAATTTATGAGTAAATAAAATTCTAAACTCTTACTCAAAAATCACAAAATTATTTTTAATAAAAGAATATTGAATTTATGAGTAAATAAGATTCTAAACTCTTACTCAAAAATCACCTGAACCTTAAATTTTTAAAATATATAAAATAAACTCTAAACTTTTAAATTCATAATAAAATATACTTTGACTATTAATTTTTTTAATATTGTTACTGTTTATGTGGGGTACTATTTATTGTGGGCCCCAGTTAATGTTGACGTGTCATTGTGAATTAACATCATAGACCCTAAACTATTATGTTCGTAGTGCTCTGGACCTTAAATTTTAAAAGTTTGAACAAATTACCTCCACCATTTATGTATAGAACGTTGACTATTATATGGACTAAATTAGTCTTAGTATGGTTCACTGTGGTGAATGCATCGTTAGTCATAGCGAACGACCTATAATTTTATAAAATGACATTTTTTGCCCTTTTTTTGGCAATGTTTTCCAAGCAATTGATATCTCATGCTTCTATATAGTTTATAACTTTAATTTAATATTATTTTGAATAATGTTTATTTATTTAATGGTGAAAACTTTGGATTCCATTTAAAAAGAAATTTAAATATTAGATAATTTTAATTAATTGATTAATTTGATTTTTCAATTTATTGAGAAATCATTGACTTTTGCATTAATTGTCTGTAAAATCCTATAATAATTAAACTTCTTTTCAAATGAAATCCCAAATTTTCACACTAACAAATAAATAAATAAACATTATTTAAAATAATATTAAATTAGAGTTATAAAGTATACGAAAGTATGAGATACTAATTGTTTGAAAATTATTGTAAAAAAAAGAGGCAAAGATGTCATTTCATAAAATTATAGATCATTCATCATAGCCAATGATGCATTCACTATGGTGAATCATACTGAGATTAATTTAGTTTACATAATAATTAACATTTTATATATAAATAGTGAAAATAATTTACTTAAAATTTTAAAATTCAAGGTCCAAAACGCTACTAACATAATAGTTCAGGATTCAAAATACTACTAACGTAATAGTTTAAGATCTGTGATGTTAATTTATAATAACACGTCAGCATTAATTGAAATCCATGATAAATAGTACCTGTGTGAATAGTAATGATGTTAATAAAATTAACGGTCAAAATTTCTTTTATTATAAATTTAAAAATTTAAAATTTATTTTATAAATTTTAAAAGTTCATGATTTAAAATAATTTTTAAATATGAGTTAAAATTTTATTTACTGAATATTTATGAGCAATCAAAATGACTGTTATGTGCAGTCTGCTAAATCATTATTCCCACTCCTGTGGTTCTGTTTCTTGGTTTTTGAATCAACGATCCGCCATACCCTGCTTTGATACTTGATAGAACTGCGAGAATATTAATATCAAACTTTTGAGATTCTCATATTACAATAACAACAAAATTATAGAAGGGAAACAATTTTGGCCAAACATTTTGATGTCTGGCAAAGAGATGCTGCTAAAAGATGGATCATAACACAACAGCGAGCAAGAATCGAATATGATTTTTTTTTTTCGGCCAACAAGAATCAAATATGGTAAAATCAGAATAAAAAATCAGCTCGATTTTGTCCAGTTTGACCGATTGCTGCTTACTTCAGCCAGATTTTGATTAGTTGTTGAGCACTCCACTCCACTAATAAGATCAAATTAAAAAAAAAAATGGTATATTTTTTAAGAACTGAAAAGTTAATTTAATATCAAGACAGCTCTTGCAAAGGTGATTCAAGTTTTACCAATGTTAAAGAAAAAGTTGATTCAGTGGAACCCAGTAACATTTAACTATATTTGTGTTAGCTAACATTAAAAA